TCTTCTTCTTCTTCTCTCCTCCTCCTCCTCCTTTCATCTTCTCCTTCTCTCCTCCTCCTCCTCCTCATCCTTCATCGTCCTCTTTTTTTTTTTTCTTTCGTCATGACGTCATCCCCATACACTTCCAGCAGGTCCTCCTCCTCCTCCTCCTCTTGTCTTGTCCTTCTCTCCTCCTCCCCTTTTTTTCCTCTCTCCTCCTCCTTTCGCCTGTTTCAATTCATAAGTCTCCATCTTTTTTCTCCTCCTCCTTTCCTCTCCTCCTCCTTCCCTCCTCCTCTTCGTCTTCCTCCTCCACCTCCTTTCGTCTTCTTCCCTCGTCGCCCTCCTCCTCCTCGTCGTCCTCCTCCTCCTCCATATCTTACCACCCTCCAACTGGCACATCCGCCAGCCATATCCTACTTCCCGCTATCTCCCGTTCATTTTTTTATTTTTTTTCCAGCCCCAAAAAAAGAACGTAAGCGGGCAGACAGCACCTCCATTCACAACTGCAGAGACTTCTTCTTCTTCTTCTTCTTCCATTATTTTTACTTCCTTTTGTCCCTCACTGTTGGTCCTTGCATCCTCTACTTCGACGGCATTATGGTGGGCGGTGGCGGCAGTTAAAAAAAAAAAAAAAAAAAGCAGAGAAAGGTGGTCAGAAAACAAAAACACTCAACCATGCCAATTTTGAATTTTCAAACCACCACTCCAACAGCCCCTCCTGTATTGTTCATTTCTCTTGTCTACAAGTACCGGGCCAAAATCTACAGTGCCCAGGCGCGGGAGAGGTTCCGTAGGGAAGGGTACCACAATTATTTTAATATTTTTCCTCACGGCGGCGCCGTAGATTTTACGCTCGGGGATATGCAACTTAGGGTTTGTCAAAATAGGGTCTGGATGGAGTGGTGGTTTCAAAGCGCCAACGCACACTCACCACAGAGGCCCCTTTTTTTTCCTTCTTGCTTTTCCAACCTTGTGTTATCAATTGTCGTATCACCCTCAGACACCTTACCTTCCTCGCAAGTTCACTTCCGACAAGAGTTCGGCAAAGGTGGGGCGAAAAGTCTGCGAGAGGACTGCGAATGCCCAAGCCATGTTTGCAAGCTGCTGTTCTCCAAATTCCCCGAAACGGCGACCTGAGGAAGGGGTAGACAAGAAAGAGACGTCCCTGATTCTTTCAGTCGGCTTCGCGTCCGACAACGAGCCCGTCTCCGACACAGATGATGACGGTACGGAAAACAACAACCTGCCAGATTGCGGGCTCGCAGAAGAATCGCTCCACTTTGAACCAGACTTGGAAGAAGGGGTTCCGTTCACATAAGGAAGACTATCGTTGCAATAGGGCGGGTGGCCACTTCGGGAGCCCAACAGATCCCCCTGCATTCGATTATTAGATTCATTACGCAAACTTTCTCCACCGTCAGATCTCTGGTTGACTTCACGCCCTTCTCCCTCCAGACTCCCTTTCCGCGCATGTGTCAGGTCTTCCGCACATGCGTCATCGTTCGCCGAAATGATGGTCCCACGAACTGCAAACCGCGTATCGGATGCATGGAATAAAACCGGAGACTCGTGATTCAACACTGCAAACGCCCAGAACAGCTGCGAAAGCTCCTGTTTCACGAAATGCCCACAGGTCCACCACCCATACAACACTGGTTTGGTGTCAGGAACAAACTACTTACGAAGAAGGACGGGCAAACTCACAATAAAAATTCTGGGCCATGCATCAGACCTCATTTCTGGCCGAATCCATCGGCAAAACGCCACGAATTGCCAACACCAGTCCACCCAATCTGACACTGGTTTACTGTTAGGAACACCCATGAACCACTGGTTTGTCATCAGGAACAAACTACGGGCTCAGTAGTAGGCGGCCACACTCACATTACCGTCTTCACCCGAAGAGAACGCCCGGTCCTTATAGCTGCATTCGGCACAACTTTCAGTCCAGATGCAGCAATAATGACCGGGCGCTTTATTCAGGTGAAGACGGTAGGAATTTCTGGCACATATCAGACCCGATTTCTGGCCGAAGTCGGCCTGAACCGACCATGGAAGAAAAAAAAAGTGACCGCAACCACACACACATGCAGCACTGTTTCAGTCACGATCAAACCATTGGCTAATTAGTGGGAGGACAAACCACACTATGGAATTCTGGCATGCACCTGACCTCATTTCTGGCCAAATTCCACGCCAAACTGACATGCATCTGACTTTCTTCTTTTCTTTTTCTTTTTCTTTTTCTTTTTCTTTTCAATGAAATCGGCGCACACCCATTAGAGGAATTGTTCATGAAGTGGGAACAGAATCCTGTGGCAAAAGCTGAAGAGGAGGGGGGGGTTGGCAGCTAAGAGCTGACCTAATCCCAGATGATCTTTGCCCCCATTGTAAACTCTCGGGTTACAGGACGGCGCTACACATCCCGGCACCTGACTTCATTCACGGCCAGGCACAAACTGGCTTAGAACCGTAAACGAGGACTGGGACTTCCTCGCATGCATTTGACCTCATTTATGGACATATTCAGCCAAAAAAAAGTTGCCTGCCAGGAATAAACCATGGCTACGATCCGGACCACCGGACAGGGATCCGGACCGTCCGTGGTCCAGGGTCCAGGGTCCGGGTCCTGATCTCGGTCCGGATGTGTGGGCCCCAGCCCAACGGGCAAAATTTTTTTGGGTGGTCCAAACGCCCTAGGCCGCCCCAAAAAAATGGTGCCTGATTTCTTACCACCCTCACCAACGATCCGGAAGGCCCAGAAAGTCTATGAGGGGGTCTGCTAGCTTTGGTTTTGTTTCCCACCTGCGGCGCAAGGGTGCGGTGGTCACCGATGCCCCCCCCCCAAAAAAAAGCCGCTGTTATGGGTGAGAACAATGGCACGCGTGAGAGAGAGAGAGAGAGAGAGAGAGAGAGAGAGAGAGAGAGAGAGAGAGAGAGCAAACAAATAACTCCTTATAATTTATTGGAAAACCCCTGCGGGTTATCTGAGAGGCCCTCATCATGAACTAAGTACTGCTCATAGCCATGTGAGGGTCATGGAACCCGAAGTCTATATGCGGTTGATTCACATTAAGGTCCGTGTTTCAGCAGTTATGGGACCACTAAGCACGCGAGTTTCTGGGCAGTAGCAGGCCAACTCACCACGTGCTTTTCAGGGCTTCCCTCCACTACTCACCAAATGTGCAAAACCAGAATGAATCTTCTGCTAGAACATGGAACCATAAGCCGCCATATGTTTTGTCTTCCGTGCAAGTAGTGACGAGTGGAGCAAGGCCTTCAGGGCCACTGATCGTAGGAAAAGAAAACAAAAAAAAGAGAGGAATGAATCTTCTGCTAGAACATGGAACCATACGCCGCCGTCATATGTTTTGTCTTTTGTGCAAGTAGTGACGAGTGGAGCAAGGCCCTTAGGGCCACTGCTCGTAGGAAAAGAAAACAAAAAAAAGAGAGGAATGAATCTTCTGCTAGAACATGGAACCATACGCCGCCACCATATGTTTTGTCTTTTGTGCAAGTAGTGCCGAGTGGAGCAAGGCCCTTAGGGCCACTGCTCGTAGGAAAACGAAACAAAAGAAAGAGAGAGCTACGGGAGCAAGTAGTTGTAACTTGAAAGCTGTAGCCCATAACTGCTGGACAGCATACCTGACTTCGGATCCAGAATGTAGCGGTACCCCTACGGCCCGACAGTGAGGCCGGACCAGTTTCAGGCCGTCGGCGTGACCCTGGTCCGGTACCAGGTTGTTCCGCACTTGGACCTAGGCCAGTATATCACTTCGGCCTAGGCCCAGGGCGGGGGGTTGATTCATTCAGTTGTTCGCTCGTTCATTGGGCCAGACTGGACCTTCACTCAGCTGCTGCTTTTCGTGTGTGTCCATTCCTCCTCTCTCTCTCTCTCTCTCATCATCGTCTCTGCATGTGCCACTTCACGTGCGTCACATTGGTATCGGATCAGGTTTTCGAACCTCTGCTCCTCCCTCCCTCCCCCTACCACCGTGGATGCCATCTCCAAGTTCGCTCTTGCAGCTGCATCTGAGCCATCAACGCGACCAGGTACAGTCGCCATCCAAGCTGGCGCCTTTCTCGACGCCCGCGCTACTCCAGCTGCTGCAGTCATCCTACAGACTGGTGATCCTGACTTGCCGCTCGTCGCCCATCTCCTACCAACGAACGGCCTGCTGAAGTGTCTGAATTGTGGGTGGAACCTGCAGAAGGATCATTGACACGCGACTGGCCGACTTCCGCCACGTCAGTGCCCCCTTCCCCTTCGGCTCCCCTCTTTCCCAACCCCTCTTCCCCCCCCCCCCCATTCCGCTGTCATCTGCCAACCCCCCCCGCTTTGCTTCCTCCCCCCCATCCGCTGTGCCCCATCCGAATCCCGATCCACCCTCCCCTGCCACGTCACCTCCTCCCCGATTCCTCCTCCCCTCACTTGCGCTTCTCCCTGCGCCTGTTACGCCGCTACCCCGACCCTCGTCCCGATCCCACCTCCCCCTACCGCGATCCCGATACTGTCTCCCCCCCGCCCCCA